TTATACACTTGATCTGGCTCTGTCAAGTGTTCTGCTTCGTGGCCTGCCATAGAGTGCCTTTCTATTAAAAAATTCCTCTTTTTATATAAATTCTGGAAACGGGACTTCTAATTGTTGAGTGCACTTTGTACAGCTTTGTTATTGTCTATTCTAAGTGTCTGCGTCTGGCATGCTTACTGTTGCTGCACATTTAAAATTTTACAAAATAGTTACCCTCAAACAAAAAGGTGTGTTATTACTTAATTTATATTTTAAAAGGAATTGCTTTTAATTTTTATTAAATTAATATTAACTTAATGATACTGATTTTATATACTAACTTAATAATACCTTAATTTTAAACTTATTCATACCTTAATTTTTATTATTACCTTATACTAACATTTATTTTTATGTGTAACTTAACTAATAATAAACAAATTATATTTAACTAAAAATACCTTAATTCTATTGTTGTTTTTTTTTTTGTTTATTTTATTTTCTTGTTGTTTGTTTGTGACGAGATTCTAAAACTCGTCACACTCCCTCCCTTCATTGGAAAGGGGGAACGACCCGAATGGCACCAGAATTAGCTATGAGCACCTTATGCTTCGTTGCACCGCTTAGTACAAAAAATGTATGGCGACGACCTCGTTTTAGCTTTTCCGCGTCCTTTTTTATTTTCTCCCACAGTTCTGCATGTGTTGGTTCTGGGGCTAGTGGTGACATTGGTCGCAGCTGGCATATTTCCTGTAACTCTTTCATCAGGTCTTCCGCGGCTGTAATATCCAAGAAATCGGTGTCTTTTTTAGGTTTGGTTGGCGGACTAACCACTGGCCGCTTGGTTTCTACTCGCTTTTTACACCTTGGTTTTACTGGAATTGGCTCCTTTAAAAACTTGGCCCTGGGCTTGGCTCGTTCAATTGTTTCGAGCCGCTTTCGATATTTTTGAATGCTGGTGGTGAGCTTCTTATTCTGTTCGGGATGACTTACTACTACTGTACTTGGTTTTAGAGTAGTGTATTCTAATGGGCAATTGCTGATCCGTTGTTTGACTTTCATCTTGCTCCGTTGCTGTATACTATTCAACTAAATCCTCCTATAATTGTCTTCGCATTTTATAGGAATTTTTATTAAGTAGATCCCGTTACTCCTGCTGCAGTACATTCGGTATTTTGATTTATTTGTGGTAATAGGTTTTTAGTTCGCTAATATGAGCTCTACTCTCTTTATGTGTTTGCATATGCTTGAGTTTGATAATGACTGGCGATATAAAATTGACCACCTGATAGGGTCCGGAGAACTTAGGTGCCAGTTTTGCAGCAAAATGAGCCTGAGCGTTGGATAGAGGATGCGTTTTAACTAAAACCATATCGCCAATCTGTGGTTTCCATGCCCTATGTCGTAAATTATAGTGCTTGGCTTGGTCTTGGGAAGCTGACTGTAGGTTAAGTTTCACAATTTGTTGTATTTCTTGCATTTCGTGTTGCTTGGTTTCAAGGGGTATCGGTGCGCAGTTTGTTCCAAGTGTGGTTTCATCGAAGAGTGCACTTGGGAGTCTGGGGGTTCTTCCGTGTATAATATAAGCTGGACTGTAACCCGTAGATGTGGATACGCTGGAGTTGAGTGCTAACATTATTTCAGGTAGATGCTCGTCCCATTTTCGCTGTTCCTGTTCTGATACTTGTGCAATTATTGTTTTTAACGTTCGATTGGTGCGTTCTACCGGATTCTCTTGGGGAGTGTATGGTGCTGTGAATTGATGACGAATTCCAAGATCTTCAAGAAATTTTCTCAATGCTCTGCTATTCAATTGTGATCCATTGTCTGTGAGTAGTACCTTTGGGACTCCAACTCTAGATATTATGTTCTCTCGTAACGCTCTTTTTACTCCATTTGTTGTAGCAGATTTGAGTGGGATAACTTCGGTCCATTTACTGAATTTATCCAGGAGAACCAATGCTACTGTATTTCCTTTGTATGATCGAGGTAGCGGCCCAATGAAATCAGCACAGAGTACTGCCCACGGTTCATTTGGTATTTCTGTTAACATTTTCCCGGCAGGTTTTAGTTGACTTATTTTATACTGCTGACATGAGCTACAGTTTTGCACGTACTTCCTTATATCCCGGAAAATTCCAGGCCAATAATACTTTGATATCACGCGAAGAATAGTTTTCTTAATCCCAAGATGTCCGGCAGTTGGTTTATCGTGGCATTCCTCCATCACTCGTTGTCGTATTTCGGTTGGAACACAGAGTTTCCAAGCAGGGGAATCATTGTCTAGGTTGCTGCATAATATCCGCCGGTATAAGTTGCCATTCTCGATGGTGTAGTCTGGGTGTTTTTCTGGATCTCCTTGTACTTCGTTTATCCGTCTTTGCAACCAAATGCATGAGGTAGGTTTTGTCTCTTGTACAACTGCTTGTGCGAATAATGGTAGTGGTTGTCGTGACAAGGCATCTGCAATTATATTTTGTTTGCCCTTCCGGTATTCTATGTCGAAGGTATATTGTTGTAGCTCCAGGGCCCATCGAGCGATGCGTCCAGAGGGGTTATTAATTGAATTTAGCCATTTCAGAGCGAGATGGTCTGTTATCACTGTAAACCGGTAACCTTCTAGATATTGTCGCATCTTTCTTACTCCCCAAATGATTGCGAGGCATTCCTTCTCAGTAGTGGTGTAATTTTTCTCTGCCTTATTCAATGACCTACTGGCGTAAGCAATGACTTTCTCTTTCCCTTGGATGATTTGTGTAAGCACTGCTCCCAATCCATTATCACTCGCATCTGTTTGAAGTGTAAACCGTTCAGTAAAATCTGGGCATGTAAGAACCGGAGCAGTAGTTAATTTTTGCTTCAGCGAGTCAAAAGCCTCCTGTTGTTCTATTGACCAGTTCCATTTTTTTCCCTTTTTTAGCAGTGCCGTCATTGGTTGGATTGTATTTGAGAATTCTGGCACGAATCTTCGGTACCAAGATGCTATTCCTAGACATCGTCGAAGTTCTTTCAGGTTTGTGGGAGGTGCTAACTCTTTTATGGCCGCTATTTTATCTGGGTCCGTGTGGATTCCTTGGTTGCTTACAATGTGCCCAAGATATTTGATTTCGTCCATAAAGAATTTGCATTTAGGGATGTTGATTTTAAGCCGTGCCTCTCGTCAATCGGCCGAGGGGCAATCAAGACTCTAAGAAGAGGTCTGCCCAAGAAATTAGTCCGATCGATCATCAATCAGCTAAGAAAAGAAGAGGGAATGAGAAACCTCCACAAGCAAAGGATGGTACGCAAATGACAGCACCAAAACAACCGAGAAAAATAATATCGGGCAGCAGTTACGCTAATGTAGCCAAGAGCTTAAGAATAGCAATTCTTCCGAAATCTTACCCGGAATCTACTCTTTCTAGGGAGGAGCAAGGTAAAATCGAGGAACTTCTCATTGAGGAGATGTATAAATGATGGGATGCCAAGCTACGATTTAGCGGGATACACTTTCGCCCAGGACTTATACTGGTTGACTGCGTAGACGAGGATGCGGCTAATTTTATCCATGGAACGGCACCTAAGCTGAACGGATGGGAAGGCGCTGAACTCACCACGTGTGTCGGGGACAAAATACCGAAATTACACATGTTGACAGTCTACCTCCCAAGAGCCAAAGGGGTCGACACGGAAAAGCTGCTAAAACTGCTCATAACTCAAAATGAGGGTCTACATACTCAGATG